GTTTGTGTGTGTGGGGAGGGACACTGACCCTTCCATCACAGGGATCTGGAGCAGAGCTGTATACAACAGGGGGGGGGACAATACAAGAGCCGGTCTGTCCAATCCGGGACCCAGCAGGATTATTTTAGGCGTTGTATAGACAGTTACATTCATGTGCTCCTCCCCCCTTTATAAAAGTGCAAAAAAGAACCCATGGAAAACAGTTGATGTATAGTAGATGAGGGGTTGGCCAGCTTCTGGGGAACTACAAGTCCCATGATGCACTGCAAAGTTCTCACAGCCACAGGCATGACTTCCGGAGGCAAAGGAATGGTGGGATTTGTAGTGTCGCCACAGCTGGAGTGCCGGAGTTGCCTTCCCCTGTAATAGATCATCTAGTCACCTTTCCCGGACTTCCATAGGGAAGGGGGCGACGTCTTCCTCCTGCCGACAAGATCCCCGGGAATGCTGAGTAGCTGATATCTGGTGGGAAGACGGTGAGCACAGAGCGGGATCATCTTCTCACCAGATTTGGATTATTCAGCATTCTCTGAGATCTGGTCGGGGGGATGACGCCGTCCTTGCCTGGGCGCTGCAGGATGACGCCGTCCTCGCCTGGACGCTGCAGGATGACGCCGTCCTCGCCTGGACGCTGCAGGATGACGCTGTCCTCGCCTGGGCGCTGCAGGATGACGCCGTCCTCGCCTGGGCGCTGCAGGATGACGCCGTCCTTACCCATGTGCTGTTGAAGGAAGCCAAAAAGTAACACACACACGTATGCATGTTTATCCAGCATTTTCATTGTGGTGGAGGTCCCCTTTAAGTCTGTGTACCTGCATTGTGGGTGTGTCCGGCCTCTTTTGGATTTCGAGTAACAATGGCGTCACTCTTCTCTTCTTCAGGTATTTTGGTCGGATTCCTCGGTATCGCTGGTAACAAAATCTGCAGCGGAAGTTTCGGAGCTCATATCCAAGGTAAAGGGTTCCGGGTACATGACTGCGGTGTGTCAGTACTCCTGTAGTATGCAGGGGGAGCTTCCACTGTGGGCCCGGGGAAGGTGGCTAGAGGGGAAGAAGACCAGTGAGCATCCCTTCCCTCATCTCTTCCCCTGTAAATGAACCCGGAAGTGAGGAGGAATTTGTCACTTCCAGGTTCAGAGCTGTCAGTCCTCGCCCACAGAGGCCGGGAAAGAAGCTGATTAAGCACCACGTGTTCCTGATCAGCTTCAGTGGAGTAGAAAGGTAACATTAGGGGCCTAATTGACAACTTGTGACTCCTAAAGAGAACCTGTCACCTATAATATGATATCACATAGGGGGCTATTACTTGTGCATGAATACTTGGCTGCATTGGTGTGATTTTGTAGTCCAGGGCCCCTTTCTGCCCGCAGTGCCTCCTGATCCTGGCGGTAATAAGCGATGTTTGTTCCCTTCACAGCTCTCCCATCTGTACTCTGAAGATTTGGAGAAATGCATTCCATACCGTGGCAGCGTGGACTCCTATTCCATGGACAGGAACCACGTGGATCTGGATTTAGATCTCCGGTACGACCCCGAAAAACAATCCTGCCATTCCCTGTCAGCCTTCCTTCTCGATTGCCGCGTTTTGTGTCCTCATGCTCTGTGTTCTGTCCGCAGGTATCTGGTGTGCCTGCCGCCTCATGTGCTAAAGAATGACCTCATCAAGAAGTTCTTCAGCAGCGTAACGAGCCCCCAACAGCATCAAAGCTTGAGTGAGTGTCCCGCTACTCCCAACTGTCATGGATGCCGCCTGTTTCCCC